CTTGTTCTTCTTGTTGTTATGCCAAACACTGAATAAATAGAGGCGCGACCCTTTGACTCGTCGCCATTTACCACTCATGAGTTCTACTGTTCACATGATCTTGGCTCTCCCGTAACCCCAATACTACATTGGTGGCAGCGGTAAAGGACGGGGGAAGTTGAGGAGGACTTTGCGAGACCTTTCTAGCTCGGAGTTTAGATAGGTTAAGATAACTCTGGGAGACCTCTCTAGTGTCATACTCGGAGTTTAGTTAGGGAGTTTGCTGAGACCTTTTTAGCGTCATACAGCAAAGAGCTTCGCTGAGACCTCTCTAGTGTCACACAGCAATAAGCTAACAATAGGCAAAACACATACGAACCTGAGACCTGTCTAGTGTCACACAGGGAAGGACGTGTTTTGAGGTTAGGGTTCCGAAGAAGGGAAGTCCTGAGAGGTTAGGGTTCCGCAAAGGAAGGCATGCTGAGACGAGTTGCTCGACACGCGCACCTACCGGATATCCAAAACTTAACAATGAAAACCGACAAGGAGAACCTAGATCCTGAATGGACGAGCAGAACGTCGCCATGGACGCAATGGCGCTCTATGCAGACACGGACACCGAACTCAAGTCCGACGCTGAGCAGGGCACTCAAGCCGTACAACCGAAGGCCGTCAACATGGTCGACGTCGCCGACGCGCCCAACATGTTCGTGGCGCAGGAGTATGGACGAGGAAGAGGCAGAGGTGGACGTCGAGGCCGTGGACGAGGACGTGGCTGTGGACGAGGCCGCGGGCGATACAGAGAACGAGTCATGGAATTCGTTATCGAGGAAGAAAACGGTCCTCTACGTGCACAACAGCGACGAGGAGAACGAGAACGACGAGCACCCCGACGTTTTCGTGAAGAAGGACAGGAGAGAGAAGCACTACAAGGTGCGGGGCCAGCGCCGCAAGGGCAGCAGGTCTTGGATGTAAACCCGGAACAGCAGCAGGGGGTCGAAGCGCGTCAAGGCGCCGCCGCGCACCAAGGACAGCAAGTCCACAAAGAAGACCTCGTCGAAGAGTACGAGTACGAGTATGAAGAGGACGAGCTCCATGTCTTCTCCTCCAGGTGGAAGAAAGCTCCAAAGCGGACGCTCAAACCCAGCTTGTATTAAATATGAAATTGGGCACGAATTTTCATTGCCAATCGTTTTGTATACGTTCACCCTACAAAACTACCAAGGCGGAACAAAATCGGGGACTAACACTTAGATGAGTTCCCTTGTCAGGCTTCGCCAAGCCCAACGTTCCACCCGACCTCTACAAGGTCACAATGCAGTGGTTTCTAAGTCAGCAAAACGACTCGCAACCCTCGACCAGTAGGGGCAAGAGTCCTTATGTCCCCAAGGACAAAGAAATCGACTCGGAAAACTAGAGTCAACTTCCATCAAAACGGTGGGGATGGAGGCTGAGGAGAAGACTGATAAAGTTAATGTAAAACCACCGGTGACCAAAACTCCAGATTTTGTTAATTTAACAGAGCTTTCTGACTCTGAAAGTGAGCTTGATGGTCGCCGGGAGGTTCCTTGTAATATTTGTAATACTAGCAGTGTTAACTCAGCACCTTTAATCAAATGTACAATTCTGAATAAAGTACAAAGAGTTTGTTTAGATACTGCAGCTGTTATAACAGTAATCCCTAGAACAAGAGACCTCCCAGTAGCAAAGCTCAAACTGAAAGGAGTAACGTCACACAAACCCTTGTAGCACCAAACATTCAGACAACGTGCTGAGAACGTTCTTTTGGTCCTCTGAAGGTTCCGTAAACGTTCTAAGAACGATATGTGCTTCAAGGTAAGCAAGTCTTTATGGTCCAGCAATGACCACGTTCGAGATTGAAGGACAGAAATTCGTACACATGACCTATGAGGCAGACATCAAGGAACACATAATTGGCATAGATTTCCTGCACAAGTTTGATGCAGTGATTAAAATCAAAATGCAAGTTGCAGAGATTGGTGAGGGACATGACAGGATAACAATTCCATTCACTCTAGAGGAGTCAAAATTTGCAAAGCTATACACTCCAGGCAGAGTTGTCTACCGTATAAGAGCGGAGAGCAACCTTACATTGAAACCGTTTGCAGAAAAAGAAATGAAGACACAATTAAGAGCAGATTCGATAACTGATGAGTCGGTTAGGGGAAGAACTGACGACTGCCCAGGTAGTGGTCAGACTCAGGATTATAGCCGAGGTGAAAGGAGCCATTCCCAGAGCAGGGTGGTTCTAGAAACCAAGGTGGTTAATCAAGAAGTGCTGACAGACTCTGGAAGTAGCAGGGCTCAAGAAGCCAAGGGTACCAAAAAT